TTCATCACTCTAAACCACTTCTTGTATCAGCAGTTCCATTTTGTCTATGAAAGCTTGTAATCATTTTTAGCAGGGAATAAATGTGCATTCCATGGTGCCATGCATTGCAGTAAAACGGGTTGTGGTTTAGCTATATCTGTGTCTTTTTAATGGTATGATACTGAATTTCACAGTGCTTGTGTTTTGTTGTTTTTTTTTTTTCCTTAAGCATTCTGGAAGCTTGTTAACTATGCAGTGGTTTTGACCCAACTGAGGCATTTTTTGCCTTGTATTTTATTTTCTGACTGTGTAGATACTGGAAGCACTTTATGGAATTCATACTTCTTAATGGAACTAATTTTTTTATTTTTTTCAGAAACAAACAGCTTTTTGATATCATTGTGAAGAAAGTACGCATTCCTCTTCAAACTGTTCGGTAAGTTCCTTGCAGCTTCAGTTAGATATGTGAGAGTTTGATATAAACAGGTGTAAACTTAATCATGTATTTTATCTTAGTGTAAGAATTCTGCTGCTGAGAAATGGACTATTACCAATTAGAATGCTGATGTAACTTCAAAATTGGCACAGAGGGGTCATTTATTAATAAATGATTGGCACTGATGGTTCTCAGTAGACAGTAAGGACTTGCACTGATTTAAAAAACTAAGATGAAATTATTCTCATGCAGCATTAGAATACATATAGCAATGCCTGTTACAAAAATCATCCTACCCTTTATAATAAAATCCTTTTGTAATGGAATTTTTTATGTGGGGTCTGTCACAGAGTGATTGTTTTCTGAAGCCTTAGTTAAAACTGGACCTGTTTTTGAAGTGTAAGAGGAAGAATGTTTTTACATTTCAAATGTAAAGACGTTGGCTTGTTTCAGTCTTTTAATAAGTAAATCCAGTTTAGTGAGGCAATAGTAGAATAGGCTGGAATAGGCTAATCACAACTTCTTGGAAAGATTTAGCAGAATTCTGTTCTGGAAAACTACCCTGCTCATTTTAGTAGGTACTTAGCCTGTACACAGTCGTTACTCTAGAGCCTCCAGCCCGTTGTGCTGAGAAAAGCCTTCCCAAAGTTCTCCTTCTGACAGCCAGGGGTCATTGCGGTGTCGCAATCAAGAACAGTGAAGAGACTTTCTGTCACTTTCCATGGGTGGAATACCCATGCAAAGGGAGAGGTAGATTGGAGGCATGTGGGCAGATGAGAAATGAGAAATGTGAATGGTGGAAGGAAGGTGAAAGTACAAAGGTAGGGGAAGGTACGAGTTCATGTGTTCCATTGCATGGAACTGAGTAGGTGAAGATACAGCTAGGCTCAGTGCAGTAGTGATGGGTAGCAGTGATTCCTTAGGAAATTCTGATCTTGTTTATGGTATAATGTAAACTTTAAATTGTGTGATTGTATTTTGTTTTATTCCTTATTATAAAGTTATTGTTTCATATAGTGACTATAATACAGTTTGCTAATATCGGTAGAAATTTAGCTTGTGGATCAAGGGTTAGAAGATAATGACATACCCTCCGTGGCTTTTTCTGTACAGTGTACATTTTACTCGCTTTCTTTTGTCCTCTTTACTAACAATCCGTTACTTCTGAATCTTGTTTTATCCTGCCTTGAGGTTACTTACCCTCTGTATGTTCATTCCTTTTTTAGCTACTGTCCCATATCCTTTGTTCCCAGCCTCTGCCTCCTACAAGCTCCTAAAAAGGTGTTGTTTTAATTAGTCTTATATATTCCTATCACTGCTTGTTGCTTGTCTCAATGCCATCAAGGAAAGCACCGAGAAGGCTGTTGTGTTCTGTGTTCCAGCAGTCCGCAGTGGCCTCTACAAGGATGGTCCTGGTGCTCTGTGGAGTACTGGAATGCAGCCTGTTCAGTTGTTGTGAAGTAATTGCACATCGTGGTGTCATGGCATAAAGGAACGTTTTGCTAGAATATGTACAGAATAGGTTGAATGTTCAGCATATCTAGCAGCAAAGCTATATAAAACAGTATTTGCAAACTTTATTTTATTTTCCTATCTTGTAGCTTGAATCAAATGAGTGTTTTATTTTTACAGAACAAGGAAAATGCATGTGACTGATAGTAAGATACTGACTTTGCAGGTAGCATTTTTTTATTCCATAGTATAGAGGTTGAAATCCAGTTTAATTGTGTGTACAGATCAGTAAAATGCTGTTAACCTCACCAATCAGGCAGTATTTCATTATTTTACCTTCAGAAACATCCAAAATCTGCCAAAATTTTCTTGAGGCATTTTCTTGTGATATAGAACATTCCAGCTGATGCATTTGAATTAGTGACATTTTCTAAGCAACTGAAGGGTTTTGTTACCCGATACTTTTTCTGAAAATCCATTTGTGCGTAAGTAATGGAAAGATCTGTGCAAGGATGTGAAACCTCAGGATTTGTTTTGTGAAACATTGGTAAATAAGTATTAGAACTAAACACTTCTATTTTTCTTTTAATCTTCTCCTCTCCTTGTAGAGCTGACGGAGGTGTCAGTAATAACAGTTTTGTCATGCAGATGACTTCAGATTTGATTAATAAGAAAATAGAAAAGCCTTCAAATACAGATATGTCTAGTCTTGGTGCAGCTTTTCTTGCAGGTCTTGCATCAGGTATGTATACAAATACATCTAAAATTCATGTTTTCCCTGACAATATGTATGTTTGTAGATAAGGAAATATCATCAGGAAAAGAAACAATAACAAAAAACAACAACATTGTAGACTTAATTGTAAAATGTCCACCATTACTTCACCCACTTTTATGGGAAGCTGCAGTAAAAAGCGTTCACTTTTGTACAGTCCTTTTTATCCATGTGCTTGTTGTGTTTGATGGACCAAAGAATGATAGGGCCATACATAAATAAGGACCATATTGTATTTTTATCACAATGTCCTAATATGTTGAGCAGTTTTATCCTTGGGTTTTACATAAATGAATAGCAACAGGAAGCTTAACATGAAAAATATCTGCATATAGGCTTTAGTGTTTATTTGCATTTAGAAGGACGCACTGCTAGAGAAGAGAGGTGAACCCTCTCTTCTTTGCTCCCTCTCTTTTCCTTGACCTGGACACTACAAGTCCCTTTCCATTTTCATACTGTGTGAAGCAGTGCTTGGTGTGCATGGATCATGTGAGAAGGTGGCTGCCTTGCTCATGTTCAGCACTGTGAAGCTGTATCCTGTCACCTCTGAACTGAGTCTTTATTCTTTGAGATTTTCACAGACATGAGTACAGTGGAATTACAGAATAGATGAATGAGGGCGGAGGGGAATCCAGCTTTACTCGGAAAGAACTGGCTTGTATAATTGACCTGACTTTAAACTACAAATTGTCAGTGGTTCCTAATGGAAATTCTGCATTTTGTAGATGGATACCTCACTAAATTGCTTTGATATGTAAATAACATAACTAAGATAAAATCACATGCTCAGGTAAGGCTTATCCAGCAATTAAAACTGAAAAAAGGTCCTTTGACAGACAAGAACGATTCAATACCATAAATTAATTTGAATATGTAACAGCAGCTATTTTCTTTATGTACTTTTTAGGGCATGAGGAAAGGCAATAGTGCTAAGTTTTGGTTTCATTTAGAGGGACCTGCAACTGAAGGCATAGTGTTGATGAAATTTAAGTGAACTTCAGTCTTCCAGAGCTGTTCCTTGGAAACTATCCCAGTTAAGCAGATGTGCTGTTGTCAGCATTCCAAACAAGTGGATGCTATTGGAAAGCAGTTCACAATGTAAAAAAAAATATGCTTCCTTCTGAGAAAGTTGTTGGTTAAGTAAAGAAAAGCTGTCATGATTTCTTATTGTGTTTCTGGTTTGGATCTCTTGTAAGTAAATTAAAGCAACTCAAAAATAACATATTTGTAGTTGAGCCTGAGAATGAACTTTCTGTTTATAGGACTTTGGACTGACAAAGAACAGCTAAAGAAGCTGAGGCGAATAGAAACAGTTTTTGAGCCTCAGAAGGATGAGGAGGAATACAAACCTGCTATGGACACCTGGATGCAAGCGGTGAAGTGCTCCTTGCACTGGTAGAAATTGACATTTTGGAGATAGAAGGAATCAAATTATAAGATTTTGTAGTTAACAGAATGGTTAAAATTGTAACTGAAATTTGTGATGGTATACAAAGGTTATAAGGTCCTTTGGTAACCTTTGTGCTATTGGAGAACTTACCATTCCACAGTGAACCTTCGTATCATCCTCACACCAGCTGTAGTCCAGATGCAGCATTTGTGTCCCTTCAGTGACCCCCTTTGGGTGGCCCAACTGCTTGAAACCATACTTTATATGTTGGGAGTTTTTTCCTATGATGTGTTTTCTACTGAGGAACTCATCTCTCATCTGATCTTTAAAAGCTTTGATATGTTAACCATCAAGGAATCTAAAAAGGGACATGCACTTCCCTAGGTATTTCTAAGGAAAAAAAATAATTATTTAGGAAATTATGGGAAATTGTTTGCCTGTTACCACATTTTGATTGACTTTTTAAGGAAGCATTTGACCCAGCTGTCTGATGGCATTTTTGTGATGCCTCGGGATTATCACAAAATTAAGATGAGAAACAAAAGCAAATATGCTTTCAAAACTCCTTAAAAGATGCTTCTTTCCAGGATTTTTGTAGCTGATGTTTACTACCTATCTAGTTTGTAGCTACATTTTTTAAATTTTATGAAGACAAAAACTGCATTATATGGCATGATTAATATGAATGTTAGCATACCTGTAACTGCATTTAACTTGTAAAAAGTCTGTAATATTTTCAAGCCCATCATTACATCTTATTATTATTGGGAAAAACAGGGTTGAAAGTCTATTTTTGAAGTTACTACTTTTACATTTGCAAAATAAACTGTAATTAAAGAAACATGTTGCTAATTTGTTCATCACTAATCTTAAATTATTACAAGTTTCACAGGGCTACAAGTAAATCAGTTTCAGATTATAATTTCCTACTTCAGAAAATGTTACTGGCAAGAATGCTCTCCCAGACCAAAAAGAGAAGGGTATCATTCTAAGATTGTGAACAGAAGATGGTGGCCTTGCTTATAGTTATTCTGCACTTCATTCTCATTGAAGGAGTTTAATTAACCAAAGTCTACCTAATGTCCACCTATGACCCCTTTCATGACATCTCATGGCTTGTGTTCATTTTGTAGTTCTGTGGTTTTCTAAGTTTGACTGTGGTTCCCATACTCTGTCCCCAAATAGATATATAATGGGAGCTGAATCTGATTCTGTTGATGCCATTTGCTTGAAAATAGCTAGCTGTGTGCCTTATTTGCACCTTTTCATTGTGGTGATTTTCATCCTGACCATAGTACAGCCAAAATACATGCAATTTTGCATTTGGTACCAGGTCAGTTTAATAGTAAATGTAATGATATAAAATGAAGTTAATGTTGCTAATTTTAGCACTGTCATTTTAAGAAATGTACCACGTTGAGACTGCAAATGTTTTACTTTAGGATTGGGCAGTAATGGACCTCATCAGTCATGTGAAGATCAGGAATTCAGCTGAGAGATGTGTTAATGATCCTTGTGCATCCTGCCATCACTGATGCATGTGGTGCTGATGGTAGGTCTGCCTAATTGGGATGCAGCTATTATCCATGATGATACATAGTCTCATATTTTAGAATCTCAGAATATCACAACTTGGTAGGGACTCATGAGGATCTCCAACTCCTAATACTTGGGACAACATGGCATAAAAAGTTGAAGGGTTGGTGAGATCTCAGAGCTGTTGGATTAATAATGTAAGTAGAAAGGAAAGAAAAACAATCTTCAAACAATTGAAAATACTCTCAGCAGATGCAGTGTGAGTTTTCTTAAGAAACAATCCAGTCACTGATGTATAAAATCTCAGTGTAATTAGCTTTGCCACCATTTTAAAAAATATTTTCTTCTCTCCTTTAGCGATTAATTTTATGAAAAATTCTCTCACCTGTTTTTGACAAGAATGTTCATGCATGCTCTCCTGTTGAAGGAAATTAGAAAAGCAAAATAATGAATTGCTGTTCCAGTCTGCTAGCTTCTTTTTGTTGTGGTCTGTGTAGCAAGATCCTTCAGCTAGTGCCATGTACTCATCTCAGGGAGCAGCTTGGACTCACCATTTGAACAGCAGCCTTGTGAAAATAAGGTAAGAACCATTTCTTGCCAGTCAGTGGAGCATGAAATACAGACAGGTTTTTTTAAATGTTGGTTTTGTTGTTTTTTTTCCTCTTACTGTTCCAAGGCCAGAGGTACAGGCAAAGTTGTCATTTTGTCTTCAGCCAAACAGATGTGTTGGTACTGCAGTCAGAGCATGGAGGTGTTCTGACCCAGAGGTTGGGCCACATTCTAGTTTGAGGTTTTACAGTGAGACAAACAAGTTCAGCTCACTGTTCAGGAGAAATGATGGGTGTGGGGGTAATGGATTAGTGTTGGTATCGCAGCGCAGGTTGGGGCTCGCAAAGCATTGAAATCAGCAAACAGTGCAAAGTAATGTGTTATGAAAAGGGAAAGGGGGAGATGATCTGGAAACAACCAGCCATGGGGAGCACGGTGTTGTGGTGAGGCTTTGAGACTCCCGACCATCTCCAGAGAGCAGCATCAGAGCTTCCTAAGTGTGGATCTTGAAGAAATCGCTAATCCCTGTGCCTTTGCAGAACTAAGGGACCAGTTACAGCCAAATTTTCAGTGTGGATCTCAGACTGAGTTTGGGATTTATGTAAGTTCTGAGTACAGATCGGTTTAGAACCTTACAGAAGTAGTAACACTCATTGCAAACTGATCGTTTCAGCAGCTTCAGGCTGAGCATTGTGTGTGCATACAAAGCTCATTCTGTAGGTGGCTGAAAGCCAGTGTTGACTATGGCAGTCACCATCCATCTCCTTTCCACAACGGTTAAATGCCTTTTTCGTGTTTGTAATCATAGCATCTGACATAAACCTTGCATAAAAATAACCAAATGAACTAAAAAGATCATTTTGAGACATAAATGACTTTATTGAGGTGGTATTTGACTTCGGGTCTGGGTTTAGCACGTGGAACGTAGGAGGAGTGCAGGAAGCCAGGCACCCCGGCTCGCTTCTGCCCTTCCTTTCTTCTCCACAGCGGGGCCTGCTGCAGTGCCTCTGTGCCGCCTGGGGCCTTGGCAGCTGGGCAAGGGAGCGCTCCATTTTGCGTATGGTTTTTTAATGCTTTCATGTAAGCTTCTTACGCAACTGCAAGTATTGATAAAGGTCTTGTTGCATGTGACAGAGTATTTCGTAGAGGATGAAAAGAAACAGAAAGCACACGCTCAGCACATTCCTGGGCCTGTGATTAATAACCAGCTGTGAGCCATCCCACGGAAATAAACAGACGGTTCTCGTTCCTTAGTTTAGGATCCCTGTTTTACAGCCTGCTTCTGCTGTTTGTTTTTTTGTTGTGCCTGTAAAGCGGGACCAACCCCAGCTCCGTGTTTGTGTGCTCTATGACCGTTGCGCGGCTCCGGTTCCGCGCGGCACGGCGGTGTTCGCTGCAGCCCCGCCTGCTGCCTGCGCGTGCGGCGCCGCCCCGTATCGCTGCCCCCGCTCTTCGGCTCCCGTCAGCGCTTCCCGTTAGCGTTCGCTGAGCGTGAGCGGCAGGCAGCCCTAACTTCGAGGCGCTTCCCGTCGCGGGAGCGGCTGCCGGCAGGCGGGGCGGGCCGGGCCGGGCCGAGCCCCGCAGAACGGGCCTCCCTGCCGGCCCCCGCGGGGCGCGGCGCCAGACACGGCCGCGGCCGCCCGGCCAAGAGGCGGCCCGCGCCCCGCCCTTCCGCCCCGCCCCCCCTCGCAGAGATCCCTCGGATTGGCGGGCGGCGTGTGTACACACACGAGGCGCGGCCAATGGCGCGCCGAAGGCGCCCGACCTCGCGCGAGGCGGCGGCCAATGGGAGCAGCCGCTCGCCAGACGCCGCCAAGCTTGTGCGGGGGAGAAGGACCCGGGCAGAGCGCGGCGCGGCGGCGGCGCGAGGCGGCGGTGGGGCCGGGCGAGGCGGGGTGCGGCGGCGACGGCGGCGGCGGCCGAGCTGGAGGTGCGGCGGAGCTCTCGCGCCGCCACGCGCCGGGGCTCGCGGCCTGCCCCTGCCGGGCTCCCTCTGCGGGGCCTCCTCGCGAGCGACGGGCGCGCGGCGCCGGCCCGGCTGGGAGGTGTCCTCGGCGTGCGGAGCGGAGCGGAGCCGCGGCCGGTAAGCGACCGTCGCGTCCAGTTACCTCGGCGTCGCCGCTCGGGCCCGGCCGCGCCGCCGCCTTCCTTCCTCTCTTCTCTCCTCCCGCCCGGGCCTGCGGACGAGCCGCCGCGGGGTCTCCGCCGGGAGGGACGGCGCCTTTCTTCCCGAGGCGCCGCTTCCACCGCGCCTCGCGGCGGCCCTGCCCTCCGCCCCCCGGCTCGGCTCCGGCAGCGTGAGGAGAAGGAGGGGGAAGAGGGCGGTGGTGCGGCGGCCCGCTGCCTGACACCTGCGGCGGCCGCGCGCTCGCCCGGCTCTGAAGGGGCCCCTCTGGAGCGCGACCGCAGCGCGGGGGGCCGCGGGGCCGGGGGTGCCGCGCCGCGAGGGGCGGGGAGCGAGCGGCCGGGCGCCGTGCTGAGTGCCAAGAGGGCGGCGCGGGCCGGGGTTGCGGGGCCGCGCGATGCCCGGGGGAGAGCGCAGCGACCGCAAAAGTTGGCAGCGCCGCGGGCCGGCCCGTCTGCCCGCCGTAGGCCTCACGGGCTTCGCGGCGGAGGTGAATCCCGGGGCGAATGCCGCCGTTCGGATTTGGGCGTGCGAACAAAGGGAGGAAAATAGCTCGTAAGCGAACTTCCTCGGAACGAGGAAGAAAACCGCATCTCGGAGGGTGCGTCCCCGCCGAGCGCAGGGCTGGCGCTGCTCTCGCGCCGTGCCCTCACGTGCCGCTCCGCGCCGCGGGCCGCCTTCCCCGCCGGGCTGGGAACGGACACAAAGCCGGGTGGTCGCGTCTGTGCTGTGCGGCAGACACGGCGTGTGGAAAATTAAAATGCGATGGTTATGCGGTGTGTGTTTTTATTTTGGAAGTCGGTTCCGTTATTTTCGCGTCTTTTTGTTAACGTTTCTAACAGTTGATGGTTTTTTTCCAGCTGCGCAGATGTAGCTTAATTACGGTGGTGGAAATGAGGTCAGAACCGCGGCTGCTGTGTTGTACTGTAGCTAATCTCATCTAGTGTGATCTCTTATTAAATATATATGTATATTGACTGTATAAATTGATGCTGCTAAAAGAGAGATGAGGAACAACTTCCTTTCTTTGCCTGCGTTGAGTCTGGTTCTCCTGATTGTAGCACTTTTTACCTTATCCACAGATGAAGTGATGGGGGTGCATGGGGCAGACTCATGGCCACTGTGTGGTACAAATGCCAGTTCTGCCAGTGCTCTGTATGCATGGAGATGTGTTTTTATGTAGCCAAGTACTGCGTTTTGAGAGCTTGTGTTTGCAGTAGCCTGTAGGGTGTTAGATACAGCACTTCAAAGAAACGTGGAAGAGTAAGTTCACGTCGCAGAAATGAACATACATCAAACAGGTGGTCTTGAGGGGGAGAAAGAGCATAGAAGAAAAGCATTCTTGTTGGAACATTGTTGTGCGGTGAGCCTGATGCCTCTGGAAGAGCTAAAAGTAATAGCTCTGAAAACAGTTTAGGTCTGTACTAGGGAAGAGGTGGGAAATTATTAAATATTAGTAGGTTTACCTCATTGGGTGCATTGAAGACTGACCACATCTTAGTGCTGGCACTTCTTGTAACCTCTTCCTTCTTGCACACAAGTCACTGTGCTAGGAGAACAGAAAGAAGCTGTTTGACTTGTGCTAGTTTGATAGCATTAGCATTACTGAAATCATATGGCACTGATGGGAAGGACAGCTAGTGCTTTAGAGGGTTCTAATGGGTTAGCTCACTTTACAAAGTGGTAAGGCAGCCTCCATGCAGCAGCTAGAGCACAACCATCCTGTGTAAAGGAGCAAGCTGAACAACACAGCTGGCAAAGTAGTGCTGGTTTGCAAGGGGGGTGTTCCTGCTGCAGGAGGACTCCTTGCTTGTTGCTGTTCTTGTGTGTGTATTGTAGGAGCTTCCTATGCATCTGGAGCTGCCTGTGAGCAACCACAGAGTGAAGATAAGGCTTTGTATTTTTGCATCTTCCAGTGGGTTTAGCAAAAAGCAGGAACTGAGGTTCCAGCTTTTCATCCCCTTCAGGAACGTGTGATGTTGCTCATTTTAAGTTAGCAGACTTCACTGTGCCTGGTGCTGGTCTCTAAAATGGCCTTACAGGGCTGTGGGAGGGTAGCTGCCACCTGTACCAGATAAGATAGATACTGACATTTAAACTTCCTCACCCTAGTGAGGATCAGGATGCGTTCTTTTAGTTACAGCTCTTCTCATTCTTGGCAATTCGTTTCTTTTGATGTGCCACTTGAAAAAATATTCTTAGAAATGCCTCAGTAAGTTGCAGCTTCATGCTTTGTATGCTTTTTCTGCATACTTTGTGATGTCATGATTAAGAATTTCTTGTTTAGTTTTTCATTTGTATTCGTAGGACACGACTACTAATGAACTAACAGTGGATTGTAAAACAAGGAAAATAAGCTGTCTGTTGCCTGGTCTGGTGCAGGAAATGCTCTTGTGGAGGTGGGTGTGTGTGCAGAGCCAAGAAGCCATTGGAACCAATGAGACAGGTTTACAATTGCAGGTGTTTGGTGGAGAGCAACCCACAGTACCAGTGTGTGTATGACATGAAAACCAACGGGATGAATGCCCATTGCGGGGTTTGAAAAACTCAGTATGTGCTTCTGTATGCTAGGAAGTAGTGTAAAAAGGAGCAGATGCAGCAGTGGAATGCTGGCTTTATTACAGCTGTCTGTTTTGATTCTTTGTGTCTTTTTGTAGCATCCATTATTAGAATGAGGGCCACTTGATTTTTCCTTGGAGTAGCTCTTCTGCAAGTTGTTACCTTGCACTATTGGCTTCAGTGAAAGAACTCTTTCGTTACTTTATTTGATTTCCTGTGTGGACTGATCGTTTCCAGTAAAGAAGTGGTGATGGTCGTTGAGGCTTCTCCTATTCCTAGATAGGTGTCTCCTTCCCAAAAGAGTGTCTGTGACCCTAAGGTGAAGTTCTTGTTACCTTCCATAAACTGAAGTCCATCTGTGAAGGTAATTCTTTTTGTGACTCTGTTTTTTCTCTCAGAAGTTAGGGCATGCTCCTCTGTTTAGAAAGTTGGGTTTCTCCTCTTCCTTCCAACTGCTGCTGGCAGGTTGGTCCCCGATGGGGAGCCAGAATGGCTTCTCAAGTAGAGAACCTTTCCCACGTGAGCAGTAGCTGTAATTACCAGAATTATTCTAACTGACCTATATTAGAGGCTAGAGCAGTAACGTGACCAGCAGTTATTTCTAAGGTTGGAACTGCATTTTAAAATGAGCTTTTGTCCCTGAGTGAATTCCAAAAGTTCGTGTGCGGGGTTCTCCATACGTTGTCAGGAAAGAGGCAACTTTTTCCTTCATTATCAGAATTGAGCCTGAGAAACTTGAGAAATACATTTCTGTTCTCTGAAATGTATGCTCTGATTACTGCAAGCTTCAGTTTATTTAGAATCCAGCTCACAGGTGTAAATACACTTAAACAGTTTTAAAACTTAATAACCTCATATAAAAAATGGTAGAATTGTAGAGTATGTGTTTGTTCTGTGTAACACAGCAGGCTTCTGATGTCTCTCGAAACAAATGCTCGTTCTTCACTGTGCTGTGTAGGGCACTGGGGATGCTGAGGTGTGAAGACAGAACTTCTCACTGCTTCCTAGTGAATTGTCAGAGCATGCTCACACTCCAGCAAACTCTCCAAAAGCTCGGATTAGTCTTCATACAAACACTACATAACCAACCTTCTGTCACATTTCAACCCATAAGTTAATTTGCAGTGTGTCATAAATGCTTTTTTCAGAGACTGAGTCACGCTGTGGTTCCACAGGCCGGGCTACCAAGCAGCTCGCTCAGCTGAGGTTTGGCTCTGTCCTGCACATGGGCCTTGACTGTCTGACCTGCCGGGGGTGCAGCAGGCACAGTGCTTTCTTCTCCCCAGTTCTGCCCCACCCTTGTGATGCTGACACCATTAGGAGCTCGGCTGGCTGAGGGGTCAGGTCACTTTGGCAGTTCTTGAGAGCATGCAGCATAGGGATGGAGTGGGAAATT